AATATTTCTATGGCCTATAGTGCACACTTACTTATAATTTAAGTCGTCCATAAATGACGTCACACTCGTAGGGGGGGGGGAGGGTGGTCCGCAATTTTGTGACGGTGTGTGATGAGGGGGAGGGGGGGGGGTTAGATGGTGTGACGTCACTTTTTTCATTATAAAAAAGCAATATTAGGAAACGAGTTTTAGCCGTTATTTCGTATTTTAGAAAACTGTTTTAATAAATTGTAATAGGAATTGATCAAAATACTCTATGTTGACAGAGTTCTGACAAGATTTTGGAAAAATATCGATGTTTTAAGAAAGATTCAACAGCAATTGTGCACGGGGTTGTAGGCTCAAGAGTGACGTCATTTTAGGGCAGTAGCGTAGCGAGGGGGGGGCGGGGGGGGGGGGGGCATATGTCCACGGGCGCCAACCTTAGGGGGGGGGGGGCGCCAAATTGAAAGTTCGAGGGGGGGGGGTGCAAATGGAAAATTTGCTTTCGAGGGGGCGCCAAATTGGAAGTATGTCCCCGGGCGGCCGGGGAAGGGTCGCTACGCCTCTGTTTTAGGGGGGGGGTCTGGCTTTTTGTGACGACGTGTGGTGGATGGGGGGGGGGGGGGGTAAAAAGCGTCAAAAAAACCGTGACGTTATTTATGGAAGACCCCTTATAAGTCGTTTAGTTTCTTTTAGTTTCAGAAAACGATTGAGATAATTTTAATTTATTGTTGGTTTTTTTTTCACGTTTATGCATGGTTTGGCTTAGATCAATATTTGGTCACAAAATTAAGTGAACAACAAAATGTCTGTGTGTTTGGGGGGGATGTCCTTTATGCATTATTACACCTTTCATCCAATCGACATGAAATGAAAAACTATGTGAATTTTGAGCATACTCAATGGCAGGTTTCCCCGAAGAGCAGTGTTTTCTTCCAGACTTTTTTCTCCGGGGGGGGGGGGGGGGGCACTTGAAATTTTCGGGCCGGGGGGGGGGGCGGTAGACTTTCTTTGGGGGGGGGGGGCTTCGCTTCCCAGAAGAGACGCCTGGAAGAAACTCTGGCGAAGAGCTACAAATTTAAGCGCCTGCGAATCTCGTTACCTTTAGCTTAAAGAGCGGACAAAAGATTTTTTTTGCCAGTCGTTAAAAATGTAATTTATGAATTCATTGAAACACATACGAGTTAGAAACAAAATGAGCAAACAATTATTTTATTTCGTCATTTATTAAGTGTTTCGCTTAGATCTAGGCCCTTTTTCTGTTCTCAATCTACCTTTGGCAATTAGTACGTAGCAAACATCGCAAATACATCATATTCTTGTCCAGTGTTTCTTTTTTTCTCAAAGGAGGGCACTTGATATTTTCGTTCGGGGGGGGGGGGGGCAGACACTGGTAAAAGTATGTTTCTCTATATAAATTCCGTTTCATTTGGGGGGGGGGGGGGGGGAAGCGGTAGACTTTCTTCGGAGGGGGGTGGGAGGAGACGCCTGGAAGCAGTGTTTCTTCCAGACGTTTTTCTCCGGAGGTGCACTTGAAATTTTTTTGGGGGGCGGACAACAATTTCCGAGGGGGGGGTGGACACTGTCGAAAGTATATATTTTTTATATAAATTCCATTTTGTTCGGGGGAGGGGGGGGGGGCGAAAAGATGCCTGAAAGAAACTCTGCCTGGAAGAAACTGCCTGGAAGAAACTTTGTTCTTGTATTTGTTCTCTCTGAACTTGATTTAACCATCATAAAGAAGTCGCATCTCACCTTGCCGAGCTTTGACTTACGTTGGTATTGTTTTCTGTACTGTTGTCATCGTGGATTCTGGGGATAATCGCTTAAAGTTTGTCAATATTTGTGAATGAGGCTGACCAGGGTGAAATTTTGTTTTTCTCTGGGTCACCAGTAAACTTTTCTTCGTCAGATTCTTGTATCTTACCTTGCATCAGAAGTTCGTCTTCTAGATCAGAATGAATGCTAAATCCAGAGTGGATGTACTTGGAGAAAGTTGGCATTGGAGTAACTCAGTCTTTTAGAGCGGCAAATAGATTGCGGGGGTGAACATGTACAACACTATTTTAGTTAACGAGTAATATACTTGACGTGTAACTAACTAGTACCTACTTATAAAGTTCATGAAGTCTAGATCGGTGTTAGAGCCAGAAAGTATTTTATTACCGGTTTACTAACAAACATTAGGGTACACTTGTAAATTCCCTAAATCTGACATCCTCACCTACTTCTGTAATAAAGGTGATCCACCTCCTCCAAGCAAAAGTTTGAAATTAATCTGATTAATCCTGTCATAAATGAAGCTCTCATTGTTCATGAAGCGCCGTAACTAGCATCCCTTTCTGATATTAGACACTTGCCCTAACCCCCCCCCCCCCATAAACCTCTCGTACATAAAAACCACACTGGTATATTAATCCTTTGCTTTTTATTAAGCACCTGTCAGTGTCATCAAGCCATACATATCTTGCAACATATTACAGCTCAATTAGTTGTACAAGTCCATGTAGTACTTTCAAGCCTATTTACTAGTGATTGAGACATTGTCGCCTGTGCTGGTATCCTACATTTTTAAAAGCTTGTCAGTGGGATATATATACACTTTGCTACAGAGGCGTAGCGAGGGCGTGCGAAATAGCGACGTCACTGCTTTGCTATACTTTAATGTATGTGTTAACTACATGTATGAAGATTGCTAATATGCATTGGTCTATAGCATAATTATTGTATTTTTTTTTAACCTTCCAATGCAGATACAAAAAAAGATGCAATTCTCTTGAATTACTTTTACTAATACCAGTGTAAATCATAGTAAATACTAGAAATGTTCACTTCACTGTGAGATAAATGCCCCCCCCCCCCTCCCACTACAAGAAAATTACAGGTACACAAACTGGCTACTTAAATTTATACTGTAACAAGACATTGAGTGAACTACACAAAAAAAAACAAGACACAAGAAGCGACAGTTTACTTGTTTAAAATTTTTATTCACATTAAAAGAATACTTTTGATGCTACAATTAAGTAATAGATCATATAGGTTACAAGTGGACAAGTAAATAGGAAGATAATAAATCAATATTAGCAGATTTCAGTATGCTCAATAACTAGACAAAATGCAATCAATACATACAACCTCCACAATAAATAAAAATTTGATGGCTACAGACATCTTAATCTAACAAGTTTTAAATTTTATATGACTGTGTGTAACTAGACCTTAGTTTCACACACAAACATAAATATATGCATAAATAGATAGATAGACATATTTATAAACAAATACTGCATAGCAGAATATCTATACATGAAAGCCAACCTATTGAAAAAATTGAATTTGCACATTCAACAACTAATAACCCCTCTGAAAATCAGCAATATTATCCAACACCTCTACAAAGACTACAACTGCCAGATTATCCACAAGTTAACCAGCCCTTTTTCAGTGAGTACAGAAATGTTATACGCTTTTCATGTATAAAGTACATCAGACCAAAAGGGTGGAATTCAGTGGACCCTCACTTAGCTGGAGGTCTAGATATTGAGGATGCTATACTCTCACATTGACAACATGCCCAATCCACGCTAAGCAAACTATGATGAACCTTCTTAATAATAATATAGGCTTAATGATCAACTGGAAAAAACACAAGTGATAAGAATCAACAACAAACAGGAGTTCCCACTTAGAACACAAGAAATGACTATTTGAGCAAGATCACTTTACACATCTAGGATCTGTTGTAAGATGATGGGGGAGCAGATGAGGACATCAAAAGACATATCAGCAAAGTATCCAACATTCTCCGCACAATATGGATGTCAAGAGCTGTCTACAGTTTTCCAAATATGACTTGAACAGCAATGTAAAATTTGTTCTCCTTTATGGTTCTGAGACTTTCAATAATGAATGGCTGTGTAGCAAACTGAACATCAGGTGGCCTGAAAAAATAACCATCTGTGATGTTCTAACATCCATCTTGAAGAGACGCCTTAATCCTCAGGCTGGTAAATCCTGGGAAACAAAAAATACACATTTTGTAAGAAAATAAAGACAACTGTTTAATCTTTAAAGAGACCCACTCCACCAGTTGCCGTTATGGTGACATATTAACACTGGAATATCTTGAGTGTGGAAATTGTACTAAAATAAAGATTGTCTACAAAGGTCTACCCTTTTATTTCAAACATTTGTTTGACAATGTGGCTTTGGCAAACATGCTGACTGATATAGCACAAATTTTGAATTAGCAGTAAGTTATCTAAGTTTTTTACATTTAGAATCAATAGTGACCACATATTAGTTCATGTATGAAAATATCTTTTTTAGTTTAGTTCAACTCATATATAGCCCTACTAAATATTAAAATAAAATAAAATGTTTTATTAATCCAGGTTCGCTGCAAACAAAATGTTTTGGTTAACAAATTAAAAATATCTGTATCACATCACTTAAGTTTATTTAGCCTGCCGGTCCATGGGGCAAGTGCAGTAGAGATATAAGCTGTTTCTGTGACTTCAACATATGAAGGGATAGTGTGGTCAGCACTATGCCCAGTCTCCTTTACTTTCCCTAACGTGAGTTAGGTACCTATCAGAGCAGCTGGGTGGACTCAGGGAAGTTCTGCTGACTTGAATCCAGATTCAACTTGAGACTTTGGGTTATACAGTCTTGCTCTATGCAGCTAAGCCACACCATCACCTTACATAATTTGCTTTAAATTAAATGTTTACACTCCACTTCTCATTGGAAAGTACATTGCAGTACAGTTGGTGCTTGTTTAGTGTATTCTTGATAAGTTTAAAATAGTTCATATTGACTATGCAAAACTGTGTGAGTGTAACCTTAAATTCACAATGATAAATAAACAAACGATATATAAAATATAACGATATACAAATAATACAGTGTATGTGAGTAGCAGAACATTGGATAACTAACCTGATAGTCTCAAGTTCTAATAATGGGCTCTAGTAACTGGTTGGGAAAATAAAGGTGGCTGAGCATAGTATTGAACTTGACTACACTATCCCTTCCTATGCCAAGGTCAGAGAAACTCATGATCTCTCCATCTGTCCCATGGACCTGAAAATGTACAAATAAATGTTTTTTTAACAAAACACAATCGCAACTGTTCAGCTCTACATAATGGTTTTTAATTTATCATTCAGCTTTATTATTCAGTGTTACATTTTATACTGTTATAATGCAATTAGTTTACCTACAAAAGTCTGTACAATAAATTTCACCTTTCATTAAATCAGATTGGAAATTCTTTCATATTTACAATCATACCTGGTTTGTTTCAACCTATCACAGCACTTGGTTTTATTTTTTACTGTAATCATAAACCCATAAGCACAAAAGACCTGCAAAACAATGACAAGATCGTTTACTTTATTATACTACAGTATAAATGCAGAGGCGTAGCTAGGGGAGGGCGGGGAGGGCGGCCGCCCCGGGCGCCGACCCTAGGGGGGCGCCAAAAGGGGTAGAAAATAATTTTAAAAGCCCATTTTAAGCTGCAGTTTTGAATTATAAACAGTCAAAGTAAAGAAATTTAACGGCTGAGAGGCTTTGCATACTGATTTTACTGTTTTCTACCTTGATCGTGTAACTGTAAACGTATATCCTTAAGAAACAGTGATCGGAAAAACCGCTTTCCAGCTTTCCTAGATTGGGGGGGGGGGGGGCGCTTTTTCGAAGACTAAAATCGGAAAAAAATTTCACATCGGATTAAGGAATAAATAACCGATATCACTCAGAAAAGAAACCCTTTCTACTAAAGCGTATTTTGTGTAACATGAAAAAAAGAGTTAGTGACGTTTAAAATCCGCTCTAACATTTTCAAGATGGTGGTGGGGGGCGCTTTTTCACTAACAACGACCGCATTTGTGCTGGATCGGTGACTAGAAAACTCTTTTAACGCTTAGAAAAGAAATCAATTGTATTAACACTTAATGTACGATTTCACTAGCCAGTTTTGCTAAGTGATAACGCGACAAGTTATTTGTACGATTCTTACGATTCTCTCAACTTCATCGTGAGAGATCAGATACTTTTACTTAATTGCATTACATTACGGGATCACTTCATTAAGAGAAATAAATATCACGGATTATTGTATCTTTATCCGATACGTAAAATAGCACTGGTTCCTAACTTTTTGGAGGTACCGAAACCCACCAGTTTTATATGCGCAACCACCGAACCCTTCTTAATAGTTGTATCGTCCACACTGACACAATCCGATCGTGAATACTATGAGTCGGGTGTGTGTCTTGACCTCCGCGGAAGCCCTGAGACTGAATTACCGAACCTATCGGGTTCGATGGAACCCACTGTTCTTGGCTCTTTTGATTTTCTTCTTTTTTTTGTTTCGGTTTCCTAAGGAACATAGGCGTAGGCAACACTTCATCAACTCACTTGATTTTTATAAAGATCGAACGCTAATAATCTAGCCTCCCCATTCTCTATTTAAAACGATTTCCTTCAGGACTTATTTGGTCTCCTTCTCTTCCTCTTTCCCCATGGACTTCACACAGGCACCTGCATAATGATGTTATTTTTCGTCTTTCTCATATTGTGTCCTAACCACCGCCATTTCATACTCCACTGTCTTTAACCTAGCTCCGAGCCATACAGTAAAAGATACATCATATTTAGCTATAGATCCTGATTGAATTTTTTTGACAATGCATTTGAATTCCACATCGACTTAGAATGTTAATACGCATTTTATCGCTGCTGATTCTAATCTGAACGTCATGGACGTCAGCTATTATCACTAAACTGGTTATTACGGCTTCTTCAACTAGTTCTGAATTTGTTGTTGACTGTGTGCGAGAAGGCAGCGCACGTCTGATAAATCCAAGACTTCGAGCTCTTGTGTCCGTTGGATTCCACTTTGTTTCCTCTAGTTTTTTTTCATTATATAATCAAACAGTCAACGAAATACCCATATCGTATTCCAGTGTGAAAAATAATTTGCTATTGTATGTCAATTGTATGACCTTGATCTAACAAACTTATAATCCAAGTATGTGACATATCATAACAGAGACTGTTCCAAAATTAAAGCATAAAAAGATTGTCCTAAACGAATTAGCACCTGCTACAATTTTTTGTTGTTGACATTACTAATCATTATTTTTAAAGGATTATGCATCTTAAGGGGAATTTAATTGGCGTTGAGTAAAGTTTTAGGGAACGACAATCATACAGCGTAATTATTAATTTTTTTCCGGACTGTCACACACATACACAAATATATATATATATATATATATATATATATATATATATATATATATATATATATATATATATATATATATATATATATGGGGGGCGCCAAACTGAAAGTTCGCCCCGGGCGCCGGGAGGGGTCGCTACGCCTCTGTATAAATGGTACTTAAAAGTGATATTAATAACTTAATTTAGTTTACACTCTTAAATGGAATACTTAAAATTTAGAACGTAGCATAGTCCCCCACCCCACAGAAGCCACATAAAGGGATCTGAACAATTAACTCTTAAAGGACCTACTGTAAGCATATTCTAAACCCGAACTGTTATTTAAAGTAACATACATGGTAGTACTCTAGCCACTTGAATACAGAGGGTTGTAAATCAGTTGATTGCAGTGTTCAAGTTTAAAACATTGTTGGTATCTTTGTTGTCCCTGTGTTTGTCTTATTCCTGTCTCCATGTTGAGAGAACCTGAAGATTAAAGTTTTGAAAGTAGTAAAAATTTAAATAAAGTGCTTATGTCTAAGGCCCAATGGCATCGTTAGATCAGGTGTCACCCAAGTAACAATGTTTATCATTAGTCTGTTAATAATACAGTTGGAATTTGTATGTAGCAATGTTTTCTCTATAGTTAGCACGTTTACGTCATGATATCACCCCACCCTCTTGTAATAGTTGTTGATTTGTACTTAAAAGACAATTTAACTTTAATTAATCATTAATGGGACTGGCAAAACAACATTTTTCTTCTGTATATTTTGCAATTTTTTGCCTTGGTGTCACCCCTTTAAATGGTGTCATCTGGTGCATATATAAAAATGTTATAAATATTAATAAGCCTAATAATCATATCTCACTATTTAAAAACAATTCTTACTCTCCCCCTTTTGATAAATAATAAACGCTTTAGAGAAATCTAGTTAGAAATCTGTTTCTACATTCGAATATGCCTTTATTTTTATTTTCCTTCTTTAGGGACTAAATAAAATTTAGTTTATACATTTATTACCGTCCACCATATTATTTTCAACAAGTCCGTATCTTTAAGTTCTTCATATAGGCCGTAAGGATATATTAATATATTGCTGAACATGCTGACGCTGCCAAAAATATTGCGGAAAGAGAGAAATGCACACATTTACCATCATGGGCTTTTTTTTTTATATAGATCTATTAGGATTTTCAAGAGTTAAAAAAAAAAAAAGCTAAATCTACACTAGATTCTAGATCCAAATAACAAAACGACACTAAATCTAAACGTTTTTGTAATTGTTGTGTGTTTCGTCAGTTGTGTTTATTAGATTTTCTTATTAAATTCTTTAATTAAAATTTTCTGTCACTTATCATATAGATCTATCACTTACTGGTTGATTTGAGACCAAATTTAATGTTCTACTATCTAGATCTAGATTCTAGCTTAATTAGGGGCCGAGAAAACAAAATGACCTATTATTATAACGTCTTAAAATGCCAAACTATTTTTCGCCATCAAATTAATTTAAATTAAAATTAGATTAATTAGGCCTAATAATGAAATACGCTCAACTGGAGGTGATCGTGAAGCGGGGAATGAAATACGCTAAAATGCAGTTTTACCCCTTCTAGATCTAGATGTAATTATTGTGCAATTTTCTAATCAGTGCCAAGATCTATTACTATTAGTATTTTAGATCTATTTTCTACAAAAATATCTTGATATTTCCGAGCAAATCGATTTATTATGTTTTCTGTTGGATCTAGTTCCGGTATCGCAAATTATTTAAGTAGAATAAACAACGATCCTAGCTAATTGATTACTTAAAAATATTTCAGCGGGATTTTCGCCAGTACGGCTAAATTTAAAATTTCTGTACTTCCGTTTCGCCACTACGGGCTAATCCCCTAGTACATAGCTCAAAATTCCCCCCCTTGGCTGATATCTAATGCTATCTTTCAAATGTTCGTTATTTATTAATGCACCGGCTGTCTAGATTATATATACTCAATCTTGGCTGTCTAGCTTATAGACACAACCGTTGCTATCTAGCTTATAGACCTAACTAGGGCTGTCTAGCTTATAGACTCAGTCATGGATGTCTAGCTGATAGACTCAACATGACTGTCTAGCTTATAAACTCAGCCATGGCTGTCTAGCTTATAAACTCAGCCATGGCTGTCTAGCTTATAAACTCAGCCATGGCTCTCTAGCTGATAGACCCTACAATAGCTGTCTAGCTGATAAACTCAGCCATGGCTGTCTAGCTAATAGACTCAGCCATGGCTGTCTAGCTTATAGACTCAACATGGCTGTCTAGCTTATAGACTCAGCATGGCTGTCTAGCTTATAGACTCAACATGGCTGTCTAGCTTATAGACTCAACATGGCTGTCTAGCTTATAGACCCAAACGATTGGACAAGAGAAAGAAACCGATACCGTAGCTTGTGATTGGCCAGTGCGAATCACGTGACGGGTCATTCAAACCTGAAGTATCATCAAGGGCAAGGCCAAGAGAGGGAAAACTGTTTTAATGAGTTCAAATACATGAGACCTCTGACCCCCGTTATGTCCTTCAGATGGGTCCTCTAACCCCTACTCTATTCGTCCTCTACAGACCCATCTAAAAAACCCTCCGCCCGCCTCCCGCCAATTAGCGGCAGCCGGCGGCACGGGAAACGGACGATTTCTTCCAGCTCCGATTTCCCATTTTTCCTTCCACTAATGTTAGCTTTAATTAGGGCTTCAATGAGTGCTCCATTCTTCTTTAACTAGCCTTACGCTTTAATTAGAGATTACCATTCTGTGGTGCAGGCGTCTCTGCCCTGAGATGCCCGGATTACTGGCTTCTCTTCAATGCCGGTGTGCGGTGTTCGGGGCTGACAAAAGTGTAGATGCTGACTTTAAAGTCAGGGGCGGAGAATCGATTGACTGAGATGTATTGTCCACGAGATAGCAGCCGCGTGTGGGATGGTTGTCTCCCATTACTTAACTCGGTATCTTCCCTTGGACCACTGAACTTGTACACTCATACAGCTGTCTCCAAACTAGGAGGCTATTCTCACCACAGGGGAAGGACTACTGCTAATGGTGACACGAAAACTTTAGCACTAATCTGCAATATAGCGATATACATCTATAAATAGATGTATATATATTTGTAATATTTAAATAATTCATAAAATAATATATTACATAATGTATTTAACATGTTGAGACACAATACGAGATTGACAAAATAGCTAAAACAGCTTTACTTTGAGCATTAATTTCTACAAGTTACTTCCCATATATAGATTCTAAACAAATAAGGAAAATAACCTGTAACAATTCTCCTTAAGGTGGCTATAAATATGAAGAATTGCATTTGAAACAAAACAAAAGTAGATTTGTAATGTAATAGCTTATGATTTATAAACATGCACATATTTTGTTAACTGTTTGTCTTTTCATTCTTCTACTTAAATAAAGATTTTATCTTTTGATTACAATTTAAATTGAAAAACCTGGCTGAAAAATCTAGCCTGTTTTTCGAGACCTCAAATTGGCGTTTTTATCAACTATTCTTAAGCCCAAGTAGATATAGTCAAAATTATATTTCCGGTCACCTACCCCTGTCGTCTGCAACAACCTCTCACAGAGAAGCTGAGGCTACGACAGTGGCGGCAACCACAGTGAGTGAGACAGTGAGATAGTGAGACAGTGAGTGAGACCGTGAGACAGTGAGATAGTGAGTGAGACCGTGAGACAGTAAGATAGTGAGTGAGATAGTAAGATAGTGAGTGAGACAGTAACATAGTGAGTAAGACAGTGAGACAGAGAGATAGTGAGTGAGATAGTGAGACCGTGAGTGAGACAGAGAGATAGTGAGTGAGATAGTGAGACCGTGAGTGAGACAGAGAGATAGTGAGTGAGACAGTGAGTGAGATAGTCAGTGAGACAGTGAGACAGTGAGTGAGATAGTCAGTGAGACAGTGAGTGAGATAGTGAGTGAGACAGTGAGATAGTGAGACCGTGAGTGAGACAGAGAGATAGTGAGTGAGACAGTGAGATAGTGAGTGAGACAGTGAGATAGTGAGTGAGACAGTGAGATAGTGAGACCGTGAGTGAGACAGAGAGATAGTGAGTGAGACAGTGAGACAGTGAGATAGTGAGTGAGACAGTGAGACAGTGAGACAGTGAGATAGTGAGTGAGACAGTAACATAGTGAGTGAGACAGTGAGTGAGACAGTGAGATAGTGAGTGAGATAGTGAGACAGTGAGTGAGACAGTAAGTGAGACAGTGAGATAGTGAGTGAGACAGTGAGATAGTGAGTGAGACAGTGAGATAGTGAGTGAGACAGTGAGACAGTGAGATAGTGAGTGAGACAGTGAGACAGTGAGATAGTGAGTGAGACAGTAACATAGTGAGTGAGACAGTGAGTGAGACAGTGAGATAGTGAGTGAGACAGTGAGATAGTGAGTGAGACAGTGAGATAGTGAGACAGTGAGATAGTGAGTGAGACAGTGAGATAGTGAGACAGAGAGATAGTGAGTGAGACAGTGAGATAGTGAGACAGTGAGATAGTGAGTGAGACAGTGAGATAGTGTGATAGTGAGTGAGACAGTGAGTGAGATAGTGAGTGAGACAGTGAGTGAGATAGTGAGACAGTAAGATAGTGAGTGAGACAGTGAGTGAGACAGAGAGATAGTGAGTGAGACAGTGAGGAGAAAGTGAGTGAGACATCACAAGATAAACTTATTCTTCCTTTTCAATGAGTTGCGTCTATAAATAGCACACTTAATTAAACCATTTGACATGGATTGATACATTTCAAAATATATACAACATCTACAAATCACAGCAGATATTTCGTTCAATCCTCATTTAGCGTTTATGTGACGTCAGACAATCGATACTTCCAACACAACCCATTGCTCTTGTCAATTTTTCTTGTTATCTCCCTTGTCTTGATTTGTTTTCTCTATAACAAGAGTTAATGCCCCTAAGTCTGAATATAGAGATCTGGTATTTTTTAATTTATCAGATTTTTTCCACATTGAATATTCTTTGATATATTCATCATACCAATGTATAGTTGATATATTAACACCACTCTATAGCACGCACAGTTTTTGTATTATTAATACATTAAGCACGTTACAAATGATTTATATATGCGGTTATGATACATCGAATGGCGTTGCTTTAACACAATTATGATTATTCAAAGCCTCAATATACTTCATTATTAAAATTGTATTATCCGAACTGACTACAATCCCTGGAAAACCATGTATTATTTTGCAAAAAAAAAAAAAAAAAAAAAAAAAAAAAACGGAAATAAAAGGAAAATAACAAAAATAGTAAATTAAATAAAAAGATATTAACAATAGTAATTATAATAAAAATACTTATAATGCTTTAACATGATAAATAGGTAAACTAATTAATAAATAAAAAGCATAAGAAGAATGAGAATTAGAATTTCACAATACCAACTACATCACCGTCATCATCATCATCATCATTATTATTATTATTGTTATTGATATTGTTGTATTATTATTATTAGCCTATTACTATTATTACAATTATTATAATCAATAATAATAATAGTAATAATAATAATAATAATAAAAATAATAATAATAAATATTTTTTCTATTCTCTCATATCATTATTGTTATTATTATTACTATTTATTTATAAACATAGTATTATTATTATTATTAGTAATTTTTATGTGACTATGGTTATGATTATTATGATTCTTGACACTGCAACAGTATGTGCTGAAAGTTTTCTACATAGACAGTAACGTGACGTCATCATCTGTGTTACTTTAGCGTCAGGTCCACAATAACGGGACTTAGCTGAAAAGTCAGTATAAATTGTTTTTTAAGAAGAATTCAAAAGTTAACCCACTCAGGCAGATGGAGTAGAGTTCATCAAACGTGACGTGACCTGTTAGGGAGGGAGACGCAGATTTTTCCCACCTTGATGTTAGGCTGATTTAAACTAACAACTCTATTCAACTCTATGCTAGAGCGTGTAAGTCTATAAAGTATTGGATTGAAATGAAACATGGTTTCCATACAGGGGCATACAGGAACACCATAGCTACCCCGCCTGTGACCGATGTCGTATGTGTGTTTTTCTGTATATAAGGGACACAAGAATAGCCACTATTTACAACACTGTCGACACAACCAGTTCCAGCCACACCTGTACCGTGTCACGTGACTGGTCAATACAAATACACTCGGCCAACTAACAGGAGATTACATGGGCCAACTAACAGCAGATTACATGGGCCAACTAACAGCCGATTACATGGGCCAACTAACAGCAGATTACATGGGCCAGCTAACAGGAGATTACATGGGCCAGCTAACAGCAGATTACATGGGCCAACTAACAGCAGATTACATGGGCCAGCTAACAGGAGATTACATGGGCCAGCTAACAGCAGATTACATGGGCCAACTAACAGCAGATACCAAAACATGGGCCAACTAACAGCAGATTACATGGGCCAACTAACAGGAGATTACATGGGCCAACTAACAGGAGATTACATGGGCCAACTAACAGGAGATTACATGGGCCAGCTAACAGCAGATTACATGGGCCAGCTAACAGGAGATTACATGGGCCAGCTAACAGCAGATTACATGGGCCAACTAACAGCAGATACCAAAACATGGGCCAACTAACAGCAGATTACATGGGCCAACTAACAGGAGATTACATGGGCCAACTAACAGGAGATTACATGGGCCAGCTAACAGTAGATTACATGGGCCA